CTTGCATACCAATGATGCGCATACAGATGTCAAAAGGTGTCACCACTGGAGGAAGAGTGAGTTGGGTGGCTGGCTCCACTTGCCCCTCACATATTCAGTGAATATATGAGTGGCAATTTCCTGAGTTAAAAAGGTAAAGGTACCCCTGACCATTAGGTCCAGTCACGGACGACTCTGGGGTTGCGGCGCTCATCTTGCTCTATAGGCCGAGGGAGCCGGCGTTTGTCTGCAGACAGCTTCCGAGTCATGTGGCCAGCATGACTAAGCCACTTCTGGCGAACCAGAGCAGCACACGGAAACGCCTGAGTTACATGTTGCTTAAAACCATGATTTTCCTCTGTGTCCCTACATCCCTGCTTTATTCAAAGCTCTGTCGTTGTTTAAAGCCTCCATTTTCCTCTCAGTTCTCTCCATCTCTTAAATTTTACCTAAACCTTCTGCTGTTGTTTTAAACCACCACTTTCCCCTTGTCAGTGTCCCTCCATTCTCACTGTCATTACCATGGGGGGTGCTGCTGCTAGGTAATCTACCTTCACGTTTGCTTCCCTATCCCCACCCCCCATCCCCAACTTCTTGCAAATTCAGGACTGTGAAAATCCTTCAATGGGGGTTTGTGCAATATGGATCAACATAACTGGTTGCATTTTTTGACTCTCTTGGGGGTGGGGGGTGATGGCAGCTGCCATGATGAGCTCCCACACTTCAAAATTTAGCACTGCCATTACTATTGTCTCCAGAAGGCACTCTGGGTCCTACAGGAACAAGGCTGCTGCTCTGCTATTCCCATAGCTCCTCCAGAGTCAGAGAACTCTGAATACCTTCCCAGCTTATACAACTGACTTTTATCGTTTATAACAGGCATTCCTCAGCTCAGGGACTCAAGCGTACAAATCTTCATAAACTATATTATTTCAAATATCTCTTAATTGGGACCCACCTAGGAAAAAGCCCTAGGATAATTTTATGGGTGGAGTGGATCAGCTGTCAGGTGCTTGTTAGATCAGCTGGAACCTTTGTTTTAACTGAAGTTTGTTAAAGCATACAAGACAGCCATGAGTTAAGTTCAGTAAAATGAATCACTCTTACTGAAAGGAATGTTGATGCAATCATGCACATAAGCACATGATTGAATAAAGGAGGGGGGGGGATGCCAAGAAACTGTTATCTTTTGCACACACTGTATCTTACGTCCCCTGTGACTTGGGGTTCTACTTTTACAAGTTTACAGACATGTAAATCTGTATGCATCACCATAATAGCCCAAAATGTGAGTCAGCAACAAAACAATTTAATCAAGGCCATATGTGGCATCAGTCATGTTAGTGACTTTGTGCTCCAGTAAAAAAATGTTTTTTAAGAGACATATTCGAAATCCAGGCAGCACTGAAACAAAGTCCTCCTCTTGTCCTTTAGATACAGAAGTCCCAACTCCACCAGTTCTACCTGTTCCCATGATTTGCTGAACCTCGGTGGAGATTTGTTCATCTTCATAATGGTATTTTGCTACCAGGATCTTGCTTTACACCTATCAGTGAGCTTCTAACTTCCCCAAACTTTTTAGGTTTCACTGCTGTGCACTGCAAAAATTATCGCCTTGCTGGCTATTTACAGCTATGAAATGATAATATTAGGCCTAATCTGTTGGGCAGTTTAACTAAACTCCATCAGTTCAACCAATATGAAGCATCCCCATCTATTCTCACCTGAGACTAGATCAACATAGGCAGCAGCAGTGGTGGCAATGAGAAGCTAGAGTCCTGCTGTGCTGAAATTGCATGTACCACCTGAAACTGCAGGTGAGGGCATTACATTTTTTAATGCTACCTTGTGTAAAAACATGCAATTCCACCTGTAAAAATGCACAGGATATCATGCTTCAGACTGCATACTGCGCTTTGTATTGCACTAAAAACAGGGCCTTCTCGGTGGTGGCCTCAGTCTTGTAGAACTCTCTCTCAAGGGATATATGTTGCCTCTTCTTGATCAATTTTTCAAGGGCATTGAAAACTCTTATGTTTCACTCTGCATTTAGTTAAAGGCAGCATGCCAGAGCTTTTATTTTATAGTTTTCTTGCTTTATTTTCTTTTTTTTAAAAAAAAAAGAACCTGCTGCTTTAATTTTGTATTTTATGTTTTCACTTTGTATGCTTTGCCAGGGCTAGTGCCAAAAATCTCAGCCCCAAAGACTTCTTTATTTTTATTTTTCTCATCCTTCCCCTCCATTTTTTTGTGAAGGCCACAATCTCCCACTTCCCCACTCACCCAAATGTTTCTGTACAGCAGTAGCTACAGCAACAGAAAGAAAGAAAAACTTATGAAAAAAGAGGATGTGCTGTTGTCACAGCTAATAGTGAGTGCCACTCCCAAGAAACTTGCTCTACTCCCTAGGCAAACTGGGTGACATGGCTCCCTGTTTTTCTGCCCACAAGAGAGTGAAGAATTTTGAGAGGCCACTTGCACCAGTTCTAAATGTAAGGCAACTTAGGTTTTTGGTCTGAAAGGCAACTTAGAAATACTAGCAACGGATAAATATAAATATATATAGTATAGATAGAAAGATAAAAATATATAGATAAATATATAGATAAATATAACTAAAATAAAATAAGTTGCCACGACAAATCCAAAGGAAGTTCATGATGGCTTTTGATCAGAACAATATTGGGTTGGATCCAGACCTTGTCCTATTTAGGGCAGACTCCATTTAAATCCATGGGAGTTCAGTTCATCAAGACCTAGAAGTTTCATTGATATCAATCTGTCATAAGTAATGCTGTTAACGCTGAATAATAAAACGCATAAGCTACAGGGTTGGCAATTAGGCCCCGTGGCGCCCTCTTAGCAGCAGTTTGATTTAAGCAATTAGTGCATGATCATGTAACTCAACACTGAATTGGATTACAAGTGAAACCTGATGCTTTCTGCATATCAAACCTCTGTTTGAAAAGAACAGGAAAAGGTCAGGTGTGCCTCCCTTCCAAACTCCCTATGGAAGTTAGTAACCTTGAAAGTCCTCATTTTTTAAAAAAGGCAAATGCCACTTACACTTTCAGGAAATTGTGTGATGTGACTATAACCACTGAATATTTAAGAATGGGTTCCATACACCTAAAAACAGCAACAGTGGATGGATGTAAATCTTTTTTTAATGCACTTCTTATGATACGCTGCAATATGGTTAACCTGGGTAGATGGAGTGTCAGTCTCCGGTAAAATTGACCACATTCCAAGACTAACAAATAGGTTCTTGTTCTGCTACCCAGAGAGACTGGAAGCAGTGAATGACCCCGTAGCTACTTTCCCCTTGGTCAACTCTCTCCCCTCCCCGCCACACACAATAACCTCCACACACACTTTCCTTGCAATAACAATTATTCCTCAAGTTCAAAAGATTAAGCTTTGCCCACAAAGAAAGGCTGTGATTAGAAAGTCACAAAATAGCCAGCCAAAGCTGAATGAAGATGTTGGTTGCACAGATAAGGGAAAAAGAAATAGCGGGATGAAATCTTCAAAGGAGACCCTTTCTATAGATGTTTAGGGTGTTGTGAAACCAGACAGAAACCTTGAAGTCTTCAGCTGAGGCTTCCGATATGTGTTTACCTTTCTAAAGCTTCTTAGTTCTGTTCAAGTTCTTCTGGAAAGAATAAAGCTGATGTCAATGCTTCCTTTATTGTCTTTTTTCACAGGCTTGCTTCATCTCTCACAACAATAGGCCTATAGACTCTATATTCCTTGAAGGAAAGCAGGAAGCTTAGAGCCTCTTCACTTTTTAAGAGGTCTGTGGGCCCTACTCTCAGTGCAGATGATAGTCCCTCAGCATCATGGGTGGGGAACGTTTTCAGTGGGGAACCTTCTGGTGGATGAGAGGCAAAACTGGGTGGAGCAATGGATGTGAGTCTTAACTTTGTACACTAGGCTACGTTCAAGATGAAGAAGATGAAGAGAAGAACAGGCTAAAAGATGAAGAGTTTGGATTTGATAGCTTTATCACTACCCTAAGGAGTCTCAAAGTGGCTAACAATCTCTTTTGCCTTCCTCCCCCACAAGAATCACTTTGTGAGGTGAGTGGGGCTGAGAGATTTCAGAGAAGTGTGACTGGCACAAGGTCACCCAGCAGCTGCATGTAGAGGAGTGGGGACATGAACCCGGCTCACCAGATTACCAGTCTACCGCTCTTAACCACTACACCACACTGGCTCTCAGATGTTTCTACACATGTACATATTTTTGGTTATCCTTTCAGGCAGGGAATAGGCATTATCATTATTCAAAGAAACATTCCACTCAGGCAAAAGTACTCAAGGAAGGTGTGGAGCAGGGTCAGTGAAAAGTGTGGAAAGAAGTCATGGGCCAGGGAGAGTGTGAAGCAGTGGCTGAGCTTTATGCTCTGGCACTGGGGGGGGGGGGGTGGAGAGCAGGCAGGGGCGGTGCGCATCCCGGGGGCATGGCACATGGTCCACAGAGGTGTGATGCGCATCCTGGAGCATGGTGCACTGCCTGCAGGGGGCGTGGCATGCGTCCTTGGGGCGTGGCGCACCGCCTGTGAGAGCGTGGTGCCCAGTGCAGGCAGTGGGGGAAGCTGCGATGGCACCCCACTGGGATCGCACTGCCGGGGGGCGGTGTGCTCCCCCTCCCTCCTCTTCCTCCGCCAGTGGTCTGAAGCGCTGGTTCCACCTCCAGGGGGCTCCCAGGGCCTGGGCACCCAGGTTTTTTTGTTGTGGGTTCCTGTGGGTCCCCAGCCTCCACCTCCCACTGCCATTGCACAATCCACAATGCACCGCCTGCTAGAACTGGGCAGAGTTGTGAGAGAGGCAGAAGCAGCACATTTGTGCTGTACCCTAACCTCAATGGCCTCATAGCTGCTAGGATTTGTAGGCCATTTCTAGGAAGAAACACAGGAAATGTAGGAAGTTGCCTTATACTGAGTGAGAACATTGGTTCTTCAAGCTGACTGACAACGTTCTCCATTATTTCAGACAGAGTACCATGCCAGTTCTACCTGGAGATACTGGGAATTGAACCTGGGGCCTTCTGCATGCAAAACAGATGCTCTACCACTGAGCTATGGCCCTTCTGCATAGCTCCAATCGCCCTATGGAGATTGCATTATAAACGGAATCATAAAAAGCACCGTAGTGCAAGATCTCCTATCTTGGCTAGTCGAGATCTGCAACTACCTTCTAGGGCAGTGTATTGCATGGCCCAGCAACAATTTACATTCCTGCATAAGCTTAGAAGCTTATTTTTCCATGATGTTGTTGTGGGTGGAGGAGGGGGGAGAGTTGGGAGGGGTGGAAAGGGTAATGCTAAACATAAAGTGTATAGCAGAACTTGACTCAAGAAATAAGCTCCTGAAGCCCATTACAAATACTTGTGGTTTGCAAACTTGGAGGAGAGTGCTGGAGGTGCCATTTAAGAATCCATTTATATTACATCTGGATCATTCCATGGCATATTAGACTTTTTCATCCTGAAAAGAACAGGAGGGGTGAAAAATGGCCCTTCAAGTTGGCTCACAGATAGGTTAGATTAGGATTCAGTTTTGTGTGGCAAGTTCAAGTGTTAGGACAGATATGATTTACTGAAGGTCTTGTTTCAGGCAATAGACAAATGACAACAGAAAAACTAAAAAGCTGGACATGCACAGTGTATGTCCCATTACCTTTGTGGAATGATAGTCTGCCATTTTCTTTTTTTCAGCACAAGAGCCACAATACTAAAATAACTTTGTTATGATAAGCAGAATATATATTTCCTCACCAGCCTGAGTATATTTGGAAATGATTGAAAATTGGAGTCTCGGGCATAACCTACTCAAGATCATTTGGCTCATGTAAAATTTAGACAGATACAGAGGTTGTGGTCTTTTCTTAACTTGGCGTTCCATATCAAAACACATAAAAAGGTAAAGGTAAAGGACCCCTGACAGTTAAGTCTCTGGGGTTGTGGTGCTCATCTCGCTTTACTGGCCAAGGGAGCAGACGTTTGTCTGCAGACAGTTTTTCTGGGTCATGTGGCCAGCATGACTAAGCCACTTCTGGCGTAACCAGAGCAATGCATGGAAACACCATTTACCTTCCCGCCGGAGCAGTACCTATTTATCTACTAGCACTTTGACATGCTTTCGGACACATAAAGTCTCTTAATTACACTATGTTATTAACTAAGTTTGCCTTTTGTTTTTATCTATGAAGAGCAATACTCCCAGCAATGTGGAAGCCTAAATATGAAGCACAGCGAGTTTGTGATAAATTAATACACCCTTGTCAGCATCTAGGGATTAATGGATACTAGAATGAAGACTTGTTTCCTGGTTATTGGCTTGAGGTCATGCGCTATGACAAACACCTGAGGGACATTTGCCAAGCAGTAAGTGAACATTTACTTTTACCTTTAAGTGAACATTAAACAAACAGTAAGTGAACATTAAGCCTGGGGAACTGATCACATGTAGTACCTGCAGCAATGGTATGGAGAATTTCCCCATGACATTACTCCTGACCAGATAGGATAGGATAAAATGGGATGGTAGCCTGGATATGGTCTTCAGCATGCTCTAGTTACCTCCAGAGTTGCCTACTGCAATGGATTATATGAAGGGCTGCCTTTGAGATATGCTTGGTAACTATGATCAAAACGGCGGCAAGGTTCCTAACTGGGACCAGTTGCTTGTAACATATCCTGCCAGGATTTAAAGACCTCTACCATCTCCTGGTCCATTTCTGAGCAGAATTCAAAGAGGCAGGTGGTGAGAGAGAGGGCCTTCTTAGTGTTGCACTCTGTTTATGGGATTCACTCCCTAGAGATGCTTACTGGGTACCCATAGTGTTATCTTTTAGACACCAGGCAAAGAACTGTCAGATATTTTCACAGGTTTTTAATCACTATTTCTGTAGGGTGGTTTTGATACTTCCTAAGATTTTGTTTTCGAGTCATAGTCTTTTTCATTGCTTTTTCCTTTTGTTCAAAATTGTAATCATCATCATCATCATCATCACCATTAGTACTTTTGTTGAAGGCAACATAAACTCCTTTGAACAAACAGTAAATCAAATGTTTTTATTTTTTTTTTTAAGAATATTTATTCAAGTTTTAAAATTACAAAAAAGAAAGAAAAAACAAAACAAGAAAACCAGTCACATACATCTTACAAAAATACACACCATACAAGAAAAAAAAAAAGAAAAAAAGGAAAAAAATACACAAAATCAAAAATCACAATAAAAAATAACAAGAAAAAAAAGAATTCAAATTTAACAAACCGTTTTCCCATTTACTTATTTCCGTGACTTCCTCTCACTTCTCTGCTTTGTATTCTAATTCAAATTGTATCTCCAGCAAATCCTTCTAACCTTCTTTTCATTCACTTATTTTAACATTTTAACATTCAAAAATATTTAATTCTCCTCTATCCTTTAGTTTACACTTTATATTTACTTAATTCCATTATACTCTGTCTGCCAATACGGTCTAATATTTCTTCTCCAACCTGTAAATCAAATGTTTTTAGATTATTCCTAAAAGTTATTGTTACTGTTGAGAGAGAGTCAGGCACACTGCAGTAGGGAGGGCATTCAGATGGGGACCTAACAATAAGACCTTGTTATCAGGCACTCCCAAACATTCAGCCCCCTGTGGTGACACCATCAACAGGACCTTTCCTGCCCATTTTGTTGTTGTTGTTGTTTAGTCATGTCCAACTCTTCGTGACCCCATGGACCAGAGCAAGCCAGGCACTCCTGTCTTCCACTGCCTCCCGCAGTTTGGTCAAACTCATGCTGGTAGCTCCGAGAACACTGTCCAACCATCTCGTCCTCTGTCGTCCCCTTCTCCTTGTGCGCTCAATCTTTCCCAACATCAGGGTCTTTTCCAGGGAGTCTTCTCTTCTCATGAGGTGGCCAAAGTATTGGAGCCTCAGCTTCACAATCTGTCCTTCCAATGAGCACTCAGGGCTGATTTCCTTAAGAATGGATAGGTTTGATCTTCTTGCAGTCCTGCCCATATTAGAGCCCAAAATGGTTAAGGCAGTATTTTAGTAACTTGGGTTCCAAGTCATTTAGAGCTTGCATGGTTCTAAAATAGTGCTGTTAGAACATGCCTTGGGCCTGCAATTTGCTGCAAACAAAAGTAACCTTTTGTGCACATGTTTGCAGCTGCCCAACAAAGTAAGGCTGGACTGGGGAATCTGTGGCCTGCTCAGAGATGGTTGGATTCCAACTCCCATCAGCTCCAGCCAGCCAGCATGGCCAATGGGCAGGGATGAGGGAAGTTGTAGTCTAGCAAACTTTGGAGACCATAGGTTCTCCACTCCTGTAGTCAGAACATTCCCATTTATTTCACTGAAAATGATAGTCCTGGGTATGCATCCCTTGGCATTTCTGGTGCTGGGACAGCTCACATGCATATAAACACCTATTGGCCTGTGCATGACGACAAGAGTAATAGAAAGCAAGACCAGACCAAGACTCATTAGTTAACTGCTGTTTCTCAAGTCAGATCAATGCCTGTTCCAGAAAGAAATAAAAATTGCTGCAGACTTTATTATATATTAAACCCATTTTTTAGCATCCTTGAAAAACATCCCAGAAATGTCACATTATTAAACACTGGGATTTGCTAAAAAGAAACATGGACCTACCACATTTCAATAATCAGTGCATGTTTTTCTTCCCCTCTATGACTTATGTCTCCTACTTAGTATTCTTCTATAACATCACATTATATGCAATTTAAATGTTTGTGTATTTTCCCCTAGCTCTGTTAGCTTGGAGATATATTTATCACCCTCTATAAAGTACAGCATAGAAGCTTGTTTTTCCATATTTTAATATTTTCACACTTGTGTCTCATTTGTTGAAAGTGTGTTCCAGCATTCTGTTCTTTATTTTTTAATATGGCAATCCATTTTCAAAAGCTTTTGGTGAGAAGAGAAAAGCCGGAGTTGTAGCTTGAACTGCTAATGAGAATCTCTTTGCCCTTGCTAATAACTTGTCTGAGGATTTTGTTCTGGCCTGCTAATCTATAGTCCTTTTGTCTCTTTCTCCCTAAAACCATAACAGCCCCTAGTACTGCGAATATGACACTTACTCCTCAATGAATAAATCATATCAGTTTCAATGGAATTAACTCATGAGTGTATACTGGATTGCAGCATAGGCTGAAGGCAAGAAAAACTGATATACTCCAAAAAGATGGCTCTCCTTTTGCTAAGTGCCTGACAAGTGATGCTCATGATTAAACTTAATTAAGGTCTGGACTTCAGAGCTGTGGGTGTAATTGAGCCCTTTAAATGATAAAGAATCTCATTATTTTAGCATTCAATCACAACCAGTTTCAGAACAAAAGCCACTCAGCAGCACCTATGATTGAAATATTTGCTCATCTCAGTAATGGGTGACTACTATTTTTATTATTGTGGTTGGTAACTGTGTTCATTTTCAGGATGATTATTCATGTCATTCCAAAGGTTTTCATAGCATCGTAGAGTTGGAAGGAACAGATTATCTGGTCCAAAATCTGGTCCAAAATCTGCACCCCCTGCAGTGCAGGAATTTTTGGTCCAATGTGGGGCAAAAACCCTGAGATTAAGAGACTCACGCTCTACCGACTAAGCCAACTCGGTGCCAGTTCATTTCCAAATGAAAATCGGATAAGGATAAAACTTTATTTTAAAGAACCAAAGTCTCTGCATGTTTATTTGAAAGGGAAAGGGCCCCCCAAAAGGATCCATAATTTATATTTCTAGTATGGATACTCCAGACTAGCCTTTCTTAACCCATTGTCCTGCAGATGCTTTAGATTACAACTCCCATCAGCCCAGCCAGCATGACCAAAAGTCATGGCTGATGGGCGTTGTAGTCCAAAACATCTGGAGGGCACCAGGTTAAGGTGACTGCTCTCTATATATTGTCCCTATATTAATGGCTCTTGCATTGTAACTCCTAAAGATGATTCGATGATGCTGATGCTAGGTTTGTTTCACTCAACAAAGACCACTTGAGCCGCCACACCATGTGTAATACAGTATGTAATTCTTCCTTACAATATGGATAGTCAGCATAGTGCCATC